CTGAAATGGTGGTGCATGCCTTTAATCCCAGCACTGGGGGGGGGGGGGGGGGAGGCAGGTGGATCTCTATGAGTTCAAGGCCAGCCTGGTCTACTGAGCTAGTTTCAGGACAGCCAGGAGAAACCCTGCCTCGAAAAACCCAAATAAAAACAAAAACAAAAAATCACATATATACATACATACATACATACTCATACGTACATACTTACATACATACACACACATACATCACACACACATATTCAGAACAGAGGCGAAAGATGGCATCATAGAGCCTCCTCTATTTATCCACACAACTCAAGCCGTTCTCACTCCATCAGCCATTCTCCCTCTGTTTTCCCTTGATAAACAGCTTCAGGACTCTAAAACCCATCTAAAGCTCAGTTTGCATCTCTAGCCCACCACTTGATCTACTCTCATTTAACCTCAGGACCTGCCTATCATATTACAGATTCTCACCCACTTCTTCTTTTGTTCAAAATATAAAATACTGGGTACCCCAGCTACCAGGGCCCCTTATATTGACCTAGACTTAGGTCTCTATGGTCACAGAGCTATTTTAGCAGACTCAGAAAACAGAAATACTCCAAATTTCTGGCTAATAATTCCATTTGTCACGCACTCTAAGAACCCCATGTTTTTTAAACGCTTTTTCTAGCTAATGGATTACATGTTGTCTTACTGTCTGCAGGCTAATATGACAGAATACCGTGAAGCAGACAACACAAACAACAGTCCTTCCGCTGTAAGGTCCCGATCCCACTCACTACCCACCATCATCCCACTCCTTCAGAGATGAGGTCTCAATTTAGGGATCTGGAGGGACACAGATATTCAGACAACGTGCGTTCCATGGGGAGCTGTGAGTGTCACTCTGTGTGTTCACAGCTGCAGAATGGACATGAGGTTGGTTTTTAATTGGTTCTCTGTACAACACTGGTACAGAAGTCTTCCATCATCCTCAAGAAAGAGCAGACAAGCTGGTACTCTGGGGCCTCCTTGTACCTGTTCTCATCGAGTTTCACAGAATCGGCAATACAGATTGTAACCGGCATGGAACCCTCCCACGGGAGGGCCTCTCTTATACTGGGTCTGTTCTTCTAAGAGTGGAGGAGTATGTCTGTTTAGGGATAGTCAAACTTTGAGGTCATTGTGAACAAGCTTTTATGAACATACCCAGCAGATTTAGAGGCTCAGTGACTTGAGAGATGAGGTCTCAATTTAGGGATCTGGGAAGGACACAGATATTCAGACAACGTGCGTTCTCTATGGGGAGCTGTGATAGTGGTGATACGGATGGGGAGAAACTGAGCATTTTCTTTGGTTTGGCCTTAGACCCGGCAAGTTCTGCTTCAAAGCCACCCTCAAAAACCTAAACTAGGCATTAATAATGGGAAGTTAGCAGGCTGTATTAAGTAATCTGTGGTCGGTTAACACCTGCCAAACAAACCCACCACCAAATGTGAAAACTCTCCCCAGAATCCTCCATGCGTTCTTTCAGGGAACCTGCATTCCTGTGATGTCCCTGGGTTCCCTGAGTCAGACTCTCCCTTCCTGAGCTGTGGTTAGAGGGTCTATCAACCCTTCCCGTGGCCAGGCCTTCGAAATCTCAGCAAGGCCGTTGCTATTATTCCCCTTCTCTGTCTTTATATTTCTTAAAAGTCAGCTGTCATTTTCAAAGCAATCCAAAACAGCCCACTCAACAGATCCCCTGGGGCTTTGGGAATGGTAAGGCCCTCCATCAGCGGTGACCTTGATACAAGGAAGTGATTTAAACACTGGGGAAGAAAGGGCCCACTATCTTTATCACACTGGTTACACCATCAACTTTAGAAATTGTGAGAGAGAAGAATAATCAATAGTGTGTTAAGACCAGCCTCCAAGAACGCCAAGACAAAGTATCCCTCTGCTGCAAAATGCTGAGTTGAAGAAGAAGTTTGAATGCACAAAAGAGAAATTAGTTGTAGTGGTGAAGCAAAATGAATTGTGTCTCGAGATGGAATTTGTCATGGGGAATGGCACTCAAGGGCTCTCTGCGTCCTTCAGGGCGATCACACAATATGCAGGATGACAAATGCTTCAAGTTGAACAAAACAGAATCAAATAGCAACACAAGAATGAGCACACTGTAAATTTGCATATGTAGGATACGAATTGCCACAAATAAACAGTTGGGGAAAGTTTCTTCAGTTGAAATTAAAAGACATCTTCTCCTTTCTCTCTACTCTCCAACTCCTCCCATGGACTCCTTGCTCTCTCTCAAATTCATGACCTCTGGCTTTTTTTCTTTAATTCTTACTCTATATGTTTTTACTATATATTCTTACTAAATATATAGCTAATCATATAACTACAACCTGCTTAGTCAGTATAGGGTTACTTGTGTGTATCGATTTCAAGGCTGACTATGTAGTATTGGATCACTAACTGGGGACCTCTTTCTTGGAGAAGACTGAGTCTCAGCCTTCCTTCGTTGCCTGTAGATTTTGGCTAGGGTTGGGGTCTTTTGAGATGTTCCCCCTTGCATGTTAGCGTGTATGCTGTTATCATTCTTATTCTGAGCCTCATAAGACAGCCATGTTTTTGAGACTACTCAGGTTTAGCTTCCCTAAATTTCGAGAGAGGAATATCTCAGCACACATCCTGTTCCTTGGACTATTACCGTCTTCCTAACCTGCTCTTCATCAATGATCCCTGAGCCTTAAATGAAAGAGCTGTGTTGTCGGTGAATCAATGAGGCTGGGTACCAATCACTTTTCTCTGCATTTGGATTGCTTATCATTTTCTGTAATGGTCTCTATCTGTTGTAGGGAACTTTGTTGACGGGTGAAAACTACACTTACTTGTGGGAATAAAGATAAATATTTAGAATACAGTAGGGATTCTGATAGGTTAGTAAAGTAGTTGCTATAGGTTTGCATACAAGATGCATGACCTCACTAGCCCCTTGTAGCTGTCTAGGTTTCCAGTAACAGGCATTAGCCTTTTAAAAATCATCTAGGAGGAAATGATCATCTCCTGTATATAAATGTTAGAAACATAAGGTTATATTTGAATATGTTCTGAAAAGTTTTGCTATGTGTCTTACAGGGTTCTTTAGAGTATTATATAATATATATTATAAAATGAATATATATGTATTATATATATGCATATATATATGGGATTTATAGGAGTGGCTTATGACTGTTGTCCAGCTAGTTCCACAATGACTGTCTACCAAGGGAAGGTCCAAGAATCTAGTAGTTGTTCAGTCCGTGATGCTGGATGTCTCGGCTGGTCTTCAGTAGATGCTGGAATCTTGAAGAATTAAGCACAAATGCTAGGGAAGAAGAGAACTTATCAGCGAGAGTGAGAGCCACCAGGCGAAGAGACCGAGCATCCTTCTTCCACATCCTTATATAGGTTGTGAACTGAAGGTGTGGCCCAAGTTAAAAGTGAATCTTCCTACCTCCAAAGAATTGGATTAAAATTGGGTCTTCCCACTTCAAATGATTTAAGTAAGAAAAAAATAATCCCTCACGGGTCTCCCCAGGCACTTGGGGTTTAGTTCGTTCCAGATGTAGCCAACCAAGAATAGCCAACACACTGCTTCCTGAAAGTCTAGGAAAGGAATTATCTCTCGATAACTGGTACAAAGGAGAAAGCATCTAGAAAGAGTGAAGGAAATGTTCCCACACCAACCTGAGTGAAATCACTATGGAAAAAGACTGGCATCTCAGCCCCTAAATTCATTACAATCAAATGTTTGATTTCCCACGGCAGCCCTAACTGTGACATGAACAGCTGTCAACAACAGAATTAGAGGGAAATGCGTTATGTGCACTTCACCCGCATTCGCTTGTCCTATTTTCACACCATTTGCTCAGGAGAATGTTTCCACAAAGTTCTTCCAGTAGAGATTTTCGTTATTCCAAAGGGAACCCCTCCAGTCTGGTGCCTTAGGTATGCCACATGTGAAATACACTTGTCGTGTTAGGCGGCATGGCTCCCAAACGGTTGCGTGCTGAGTGCCAAACCCAAGATCAATGAAGAGTCTGGGCCACAACTGGTTTAATCCTGAAACCATGCTATGAAGAACCTATTATCATTCCCGTATTTCATGGTTGGTTCCTGCTATTTCTAGTGGTTATGTTCCGTATGGTTAAGCAAACTGACATGGCAAATACTGAATCCTAATTTCCTAAGAGAAACAGGGCTAGATGCTGCTGGTTAGCGTATGACGAGGCAACCCAACTGCAAGCATGTTTGAATTTGTTTCCATCTAAGAGACCTTACCTAAGGTCTGCATACTTGATGAACATTGAACCCAAGAGACCTAGCTCGGAGCTGAAAGAAGTGTGTGTCCCGGTGGCACAGGCCTTTAATCCCAGCACTCAGGAGGCAGAAGCAGGCAGATCTCTGTGAGTTCAAGGCCAGCCTGGTCTACAAGAGCTAGTTCCAGGACAGGAACCAAAAGCTACGGAAAAACCCTGTCTGGAAAATAAAAAAAAAAAAAAAGTATGTTGTCCTTATGAAACACATCACTTCCTTCCTGGTGCGGGCATACTAGACAGTACCTAAAATCTGTCTACACCAGGGACCCAGGGACCCATTCACTCATTCGTGGATGTTCCAGAGCTCGCACAGAGGCCACGCGAGATTTTGCCACATTGTCTATATCAACAAAATTCTCATGAGTACTCATTTGAGGATTTACAAATAAATTTCCACTCGAAAGACAACTCTGCAGCTATGGAATCTGTACATAGTGAGGGCCAGTTGGTTCTATGTGGTAAGCCCATGGGAGGACACGCACACAGCTGGCTCTCTCTCTATTTGTGTGGCAATTTCCCCCGCAGGTGTTTATACATCTTTAAATTCAAAGAGTAGAAATTAGAGATTTTTGGAAAGTAAGAATTTCATGAAAAGATGTGACGAGCCTTGTGTTGCGTGCTTCCGGGTTGTGAATTTAGAATCAGTTCGGTACTGACGACAGTCACTCGCTCTGCTTCTCCTAGGTCTTCCAGGGCTGCGGCCAGCCCAAACCTGCTCCGGCTCTCAGGTCTGCTCGCTCAGCCCCAGAAAATTTTAACCCACGTTTTCGGCCCTACAACCCCGAGGAACGACCCACCACGGCCGCAGGCACGAGCTTGGACCGGCTGGTGAGTACTTCGCTTGTTGACTGTGCGGCCGGGTCATTCGCTCCGTGAGGTCTGGGCTACGGGATTTCTAACGCGGGGTGGAAAAGCCATCGTATTCTTGTACCTGCTCCTGTTCTCAATAGAATGGTGGACAGTAAGAGTTGTTTTGTTTTGTTTTGTTTTCCGTTTAGGTCATGAATTTATTTAGGAACCCTTAAAACTATTAAATCCTCTAGTGCAGTGACTAAGAGCCCAGCTTCCTATTTCTTCAGAAATGTTGCCTGGAAGCCCAGTTGCTGGATCTCTCAGATGTCTAATTACAAAACCACATTTCTAATTCATATGCTGCACTTCTTTAAATGCTTGCTTCTGTGAGTTTAATATCCTCTTGCTTTCTTATGATTCCTCATATGCTGAGTTTGCTCTTTGGAAAGTCTATCAGGAAGTTCCAAATTAATGTTTGGATTTTTGTTTTGTTTTGTTGTTTTTTGTTTATTTGCTTGTTTTTTTTTCTTTTCTAAATGTATCTTAAAAATAGGGATCTTAGGGCCATTTAAATATGTGTCAGGGACTGGGTGGCTTTTAATGTGTTTTTAAAAAACAAATTTGGGATAAAAATTAAGAGCTCTTAATTTCAAAGAAATATGGCCTGGTCATTTCCAATTCAATGTCTTCAATTCATAATGCCATATACAATCGATACACCTGCGCTGTTAGCACCGTGAATGCTGCTCTGCCAATTATCCCGATGCAAAATTACCAGATAAACCCCCAGGGTCAAACAGCATTTGAACCACGTCTGACTGTGTCATATAAATTCTGTCTTGAGGGCTGTTGGTTATGAAATACTGTTATTAGTCACTGTTATGAATGCCTTTATGGTTTTAGTTAATACCCCTTCCACAGTGTAGAACTCGCGAGATTAAATTGGTCGTGTTTGGCCTATGTGTAAGTACATCTCGGCATTTCTCTCTCTAAAGGAAAAGAATCAAGCGAATGTAACAACATAAAGGTCTACCCACTAAGTGTCAAAGTGAAAGGGTAGCCGCTCTCGTTAACTGTTAAATCATGCTTTGAATTTATTACCCTTTATTAGCAAATAAAATCCCCTCTGCAGCACAGGTTTTGGAAAAGGAATCCCAAGTGTATTGCTTCAGCCTGCCCTCCAACCCTTGTTTAGTCCGTCCTCTATCACATTTTCAAGAAAATTTGAAAATTAGTTACTGGTTTTCTTTTACCCAGCCAACTCTACTCTGCCAACCAACAGCTTGGGCAACCTTTGCCAAGAACACTCGCGTCCTGTAGAGTAGGCTGTTCGGATTCTACTTTACATGTGCTTTGTGTCTCTCTAAGCAGAAACCCCCAGGATTCGATTAACTAACTTTAGTTAGTGCGAACTCAGTTATTAGAGGAGGCTGTGCCCTTCAAGGTGTCTGCCAACCCCAGCTGAAAACTGGAACACGGGTGTCAGATGGATCCGCCCTAGACAGCTCATGTACTAAATTTGTGCCCGCAGAGTACAATTTTGCTTTACACACTTCAAAAACCTCTTAGAGAAATTTCCTGTTAAATCTTCTCACCACGATAGGTGGATAAAGTTTTTTTGTAAAAAAAAAAAAAACAAGGGCATATTATATACTTAGTCAAAAATGCCTTAAATGTGGACACTGTACTGATATCTATGACAATTAGTAGATATTTTTCCTTTGAAACAGAGAAGCATTCTCTAGGCTAAATAAACACGTTAAGTGAGGAAAATAAGAGGAAAAAAACTTGCTACTCCACGCAGTATTATTGCCGTAAAACACAAACTAAATAAATGCAGCTCTGATAATTTTCATGATCTTCAAAGTCTCACAGTGAAGGCTTCACTGAGTAACCTTCAAAATGCATACCCAGAAGGAGTCTGGAAAGCTATTGACAGCAAACTGATGGAAGACATTCTATTTTATGTCCCGTGAAAATATTTTTAATCGATGTTTTTCAAGCACTAAATGACAATGGTTAATCCCCTGTCATATGTAAAAAGCCAGGGCCAGCCCCAGAGCAGCGTAGGTATTCAAGCCAGGAGCTCAATTTGCTGTGTGATGCTCTCTGTCAGCACTGAGAGCGACTTCCTCCTGGGTGTGACTTCAGGCTGTGTACGTGAGAGCTGCCGTTTTGTTCCCGGTCTATGTTCTGGAACTCTGATCCTCTTTTCAAATTTGAGAATTAGCCATTTGTAACAGCCTCCCTCTTTCCAATTCTGCTCCTTCTCTCCAAAGATCAATTGTTCCCACATCAAAAGATGTTCTACTGAGGTTTTTCTTAAGACAGAGATGCTGGGCCCCAAGCTCCCATCAGAGGCTCCTATGCAGCCGCGGGCTTCCCCAAGGCCATTGCCTTCTGAGCATTCTGGGGTGGTCTTTCATGGACCTGTTCAAGGGGCAACTCCGGTGAGTTCTCCAGAAGGGTCTGTTCACTATTACAGCCTGTCCCTGCTGGTTATAAACAAGCCTTGTGATACCTACTCCTGTTTTAATTTTGCCCTGAAAAGATGTTTCCTGAATATTTATAAGAAGCCTGTGTCCCAGAAAAGGAGGAAATTGGAAAAGATTTCCCTGTTTCAGCAGAGAAAAGGCTTTAAAAGCCGACATTAAAACAACTCCCCACATGCCCCACCTATTTCCGTAAATGAAAATAACTTCATTCTGATGCTGGTGGCTGGTGACTTCTTGACACCTTTTAAATTAGTGCCTGTGCTATTGACTCTGGAATCCGTGGGTAAATGTTCTTCTGTCGGTTAGTGCAAAGCTGTGTTTTTATGGGAACTGATAATTAAGGGGTTTGTTTTAGAAATAAAGGTCTCAAACCCCAAGTCCCTGCTAAAGCTTGCAAAAGAGAATCATAAAGAACACGGTATCTTTCAGAAGGCCCAATCCCTTCATCGGGAGCTTGGAAATTCCTTACTATCACAAAGAAGAGTTTCCATTTCTTCTTCGAAAGTCCTGTGGGCCTGCAGTGCAGCTGACAGCAGCCGGCAGCCTTCAAACATGCTACCCTCGAGTCATACTTTCTTTGCCAAAACCAAAAGACTGTGTTTGTGTCAGTGCAGCTGCTGAGAGAAAGCTGGCTCTGGGGAAGTCTCGGACTCCTCACTGCCACCAACCGCATTTTATTGGGGACGCCAAGGCCAGCACCTGATCCTGCTAACAGGCTGTCCTCAGCATCATCTCTCAGCCGGCAGCCCTCCTGTGCCCACAGGCTGCTACAGGTTAGGAGTTAAGTGGGCCAGAGGTCGTTGTTTGCACTCTGAAGGGGACTGGTTCTCTTCTCCTTTTCGTAGACTGATCCTCTGTGGGTTCTCTGAAATACCTTGATAGGAGGCTATGTGGCTCGAAAGGTCCCGCTCAGTGGAAACACCAGGTGCAAAACCAATTCAGCACGGCCGCTAGAATTCTCAGGTCTGAGCACTCAGAGGTGTTGGACATTATCCTCCTGAAAGGCAATTAGATGAAGAGCTCGGAAAATTAGAGCACAATGTGCTCACTCCGGAACACTAAGGCAGACACTGCCTGTTACTTACAGCAGCTTTTTCATTAGGGCACATCTGAACTCTAAATTACAGCCCTTAGAGGAGTGTGACTTATAAAAGTCAACCTTATAAAAAAGAGAGAGAGAGAGACTTGGAAGTTAACTCATCACGCTGTGATGATTTAATCGAAAGCAACTCCAGTAAGTATCTCACCTTGTCCTGGCTGTCAAGACTTCCCGGTTATTCTCCAAGTCACTAAGAGTGTGGGCAGAGTAGACGGAGTGTGGGCTAACGAATGAGTCTAATGTGCTGTGCTGTATAAAATAACCTCTTTTTCTTTCTCTTTTGAATTTGTTTTCCTCTTGCTTCCCAGAGGACTGTGTGGAGGACCATGCAACATAGTGTAAGCCCTGGTCTTGTTGTTCATTCATCCCATTTGTCTAGAACATTCCTGAGAAATGCCACCACCTTCCCTTACCCTAACCCTAACCCTTTTCCCTTATCTAAGATGAGTTGACCACTGTGCAGGGTCACCTCATTTCCTAGTTTCCTGTTTGGTATTTATGGCTTATAACTGCTTTGGTATTCTTTCCCAATGGCAAGGTAACCTATATAATCTTTGTGGAACACTACCTCATTGGGTGGCGGATTTAAATTCTATTCCACTGGTCAAACTATTGTCATCTGCCTGAAAAACTAGCCCATCCCAATGGGCTCTATTGGCCTTTTCTTCTTGTGCTGAGAGAACAATTATCTCATTAATAATAAAAACAAACCATCATCAACTCTCATGCACAAGGAACTATTTTTTCCATTAGCAGGGACATGGAGAATGTAGGGGCTTTAAAAATAGTTGGTGAACTGGGAAGTGGTGGTGCATGCCTTTAATCCCAGCACTCGGGAGGCAGAGGCAGGCGGATCTCTGTGAGTTCGAGGCCAGCCTGGTCTACAAGAGCTAGTTCCAAGACAGGCTCCAAATCTACAGAGAAACCCTGTCTCAAAAAAAAAAGAAAAAAGAAAAAGAAAGAAAGAAAGAAAGAGAAAAGAAAATAGTTGACAGTATAAACTGTTTCTCTCCATTTATTTTGTTATTGTTCCTATTTGAATTACTGGGTGTGTTGTTTTGGTTTGGCTTGGTTGTTGATGTTTGTTTGTTGTTTATTTGTTTGAGCATTGTGGGAGGGAGTACTGGATATTGTTTTATCTGAAAGTAGCCTGTGTCAGACTGAGGACAAGAGTTCTAGGTTGCCTTGGCTGTTCCCAAGGACTACAACGTTAGAGAATGTGGTTTTCACAATACTCTTTTATGATGGTAACATTCTCTCCAAAGGACCTGTATCCTTAGGCCAGAGTGTGGCACATACCTGTAATCCCAGTTCAAAGCCAACCTGGGCTACCTATAGAGTCCAAGGCCAGCCTGGGGCTACATATCCTGCCTGAAACAAAACAAGTTTTGCAAAGACCTGTCCTGGGACCAGAAGAGGAGGTGTCTCACGGGAGGAGCACT